TTTACTTTCTGTATAAAAATGCATTTGTGGCAATTTATGCTTGCTTCTGAGGAAAGAGCCCTCCATGGGGAGTGGTACAGAGTCAACACCCTTTCTGTAATACCCCCCAGAGTTTTGCTGAGGACAAAAAAAGGCAAAGGGGCAGGCAAGCTAGGTGTGAAGGGGGCTAGAAAATAGAAAAGGGAAGAGATTGGGGGGTGACGCCTTCCCAGCAAGACTCCAGCGTTGAACTTCCCTCATTCTCTGCTCCCCATCTCTTTCTGCCAACTGCATTTCTCAATGGATAGCTCATCTATTTTTGTGAAGACTGAAATAAAATTAAGGCATTAGATATATGAGGTTTCTCTTTATTGCACTATTTATTTTCCCTGCTGGGCAACGCATGGGGTGAAGGCTGCACTTCTGTTCATCTTCTTTTTATTTGTAGCATGCTCTCAGCGATGTTGAAATAATCTAGAGGAGTCTTAGCCAGGGTGATGGGGCACTCTGGGGTGCCATGATAGTTTTTAAAGGTGCCACACACTATTAGCACTGCTAGTTGTGCATACATCTGCATATGAATCATAAAACAGAAGATCTGTTTTATTTTTTTTTTTAAAAGTCAAGAAATGAGGGAAAATTATGAGTGAGCATCTATGTCAAGGATTATTGTAGGTTTTTAAGATAAGCAAATAATTCACCTAAGACACCTGCATTGACTGGGAATTGAAGCCAGGTCTCCTGAATAGGAGGCAAGAAGGCTACTATTGAACCACCAAAGTGTGAGCAGATAAGCTACCTGCCCAGGTCCTGAAAAAAGGAAAGGTAAAGGTGAGCCTTCCCTCCATTCTAGTTCACTCCAAGGAGGAAAAAGCCCAAGGTTTTAGGTGCTCTTCAAAGCTAATCAAGAATCACACTGGAAAAGAGAGGAAAAATGTAATGATGGGGAAGTGATTGGGCTACCTTTTGTGTGTTTGTTTCTTTGTCTTTGCTTCCAAAAGGACCCCAAATCCCTTTTTGAGCTCCTGCTTTCCATACAACTCCCTCCTTTCTTGGGATGGGTGGGGGGAGCCTGCAGAGATTAAAAGCATCTGGGAATCTGGCTATGACCCCAGCTGACTTCCTGCCCTTTGGGCAGGGGGGTGGACTCAATGATCTTCCAAGGTCCCTTCCAGCCCTAATGTCTATGAAATCTATGAAATGTGGGTGCCCAAGGGGCTGGATGGACATAGCAGAGACCCCTGCCAGTATGGTGTTTGCATGCCACAGTCTGGACATATGATGATGGATGTTCCTTTTCCTTTTTCTATACTGTTTCTTGCAGGAGTCCCTCCTTGGCCCCAGGGCAAGAGGAGGGAGATGAGCACAGAGTGAAAAGGAGAGCCTATCCTCCATGCTCTTGACCATGTGGGTGGCCCTTCTTTGTCCCCTCTCGAGCTTATCCACCACACCCTTCTTGAAG